TTTTTTTTTAATGTGTAGAGTTCAAAATTTCAGTCTTTCACTGGAATTTGTCAACATAAATTTGCAAAAATTCTTCGCCCATAATAGACGTACACTAAAGGAGCTTTCAAAACATAAGTTCTTTTTAAAAATTATTTTATTACTTTATTTATTTGAAAGGTAGAATTACAGAAGAGGTAAGGGGAGGAGAAAGAGAAAGAGGTCTCCATCTGCTTGTTCATTCCAAAACAGCTGCAATAGCCAGGGCTGGGCCAGGCTGAAGCCAGAGGCCAGGAGCTTCTTCCAGATCTCCCACATGGGTGGCAGGGGCCCAAGCACCTGGATCATCCTCTGCTGCTTTTCCAGGCACGTTAGAAGCGGCTGAAGTGGAGAAGCTGGGACTTGAAGTGCTGCCCATACAGGATATCGGTGTCACAGGTGGCAGCTTCACATGCTGTGCTGCAATGCTAGCTCCCCAAAGGAATGTTTTTGGTCATGACATGAACCCAGCGAAAGGAGCTTGCATGTTAAGGGTTTGATCCAGGAGTCTGACGCAGGTGGTTAATGCAGGACTTAGTGTCAGGGCTCTCAAGCAGCTTTTCTGCCAATTCCTGATGGTCACCCCTTAGCTCTCTTGTCTCAAAGACAGTGCCATGGCCACAAGCGTCGTCCAGTGCATCTGCAGCCCAACGAGTGTCTGCCTGCATCAGCTTGTCTGCCTCAAGTCACAGGACAACCTTGTCTCCCTCCCTCCTTCCCTCCCTTCCTTCTTTCCTTTTTGAAAATTTATTTATTTTGAAATCAGAGTTTCAGAGAGAAATGGATGGAGAAACAGAGAAGAAAGATCTTCCATCCTATAGTTCATTCCCCAGATGGTCACAACGGCCAGGACTGGGCCATGTTGAATCCCAGAACTTCATCCAGGTTACCCACGTGGGTAGTAGAGGCCCAAGACTTTGAGACTTCCTCCACTGCTCTCCCAGGTCACAAGCAGGGAGCTGGATGGGTGGTGGAGCAGCCGGCACACAAACTGGTACCCATATGGGAAGTCAGCACTGCAATGTGGAGGATTGGTCCATTGAGCCATTGCACTGGCTGGGGCTGCTTTATTTCATAACTACAAAGAGAGACTGATGCCCACTGAACATTCTGAGATATTCCAGCGTCACAGCTCCTCTTGGTAGGGCTTGGTCTGCATTCTATGCACGTTCTGATGGAGTAGACCAACTTGAGACTGGATCTGGGACGGTAACGCCTTGGGTGAGAATGTGAAGGCAGGTGACAACCCTTTTGGCAGATTTTTCCATGAGCACTGGGCCTGGAACTTTCTTCAGCAAACCAGTCTTCTCTACGCAGAATGCAGGAGGCAGTGAGAGAAGGTAGCCGGCTGCCCCGCCCACCGCCTTACTGACGCCCAGCGGCACCTTCTGTGTCTTCGCTTCAGGGTTGATGGGTTGGTGGTGTGTTGGGGTGACGGGCTGAAGCAGTTCCTATATTTGCCCATCAACTTCACTTTGGAGACTTACATCCTGTCTGGGCTGCCAGATTGAATTAAACGCTTTCTGAAAGCCCGCAGTCTGGTAAGACGTCAGTATTTTTATCATCGTTAAAAAAGCAGCAGCTGCAGAGAGAGGGTGCAGCCTGTGGCTTGCTCCCCAGGGAAAGATCTGATTGGCTCTGGGACTTCTCTGGGAATGGCAGAGGACCGAGGGTCTGAGGCTGAAGCCCTGCAGGGGTCAGCCCTGCCCTACTGCCACATATCAGGATATGGACCAGGCTCTGTTTCTGGGGCCCTTGTCATGTGTAACTAGCATGTCATTTCCCAACTTCTGTCTTTCTGGTGACCATCACACATCTATATAAATCTAAGGATTTTCTGATTTCTTATTTTTTAAAAAAAAAATATTTGTTCTTATTGGAAAGGCAGATCTTACAGAAATAAGGAGCTATATAGAGAAAGATTTTTCCATCCACTGGCTCACTCCCCAAAATGGCTACAATGGCTGGAGCTGAGCTGAGCTGAAACCAGGAGCCAGGTACTTCTTTGGGGTCTCCCATGTGGGTGAAGGGTTCCAAGACCTTGGGTCATCCTCAACTGCCTTCCCAGGCCACAGAGAACTGGATGAGAAATTGAGCAGCCAGGATATAAACTGGTGCCAACATGGGATCCTGACACCTGCAAGTGGAGGAGTAACCAATTGAGCCATTGCCCTGGACCTTTAAACAAAGAAAGATATTCATGGGCCCAGCACCGTGGTTTAGTGGCTAAAGTCCTCGCCTTGAATATGCCGGTATCCCATATGGGCGCCGGTTCTGATCCCAGCAGTTCCACTTCCCATCCAGTTCCCTGCTTGTAGCCTGAGAAAGCAGTTGAGGACAGCCCAAAGCCTTGGGACCCTGCACCCGTGTGGGAGACCTGGAAGAAGTTCCTGGCTCCTGGCTTTGGATCGGCGCAGCACTGGCCATTGCAGCCGCTTGTGGAGTGAATCATTGGATGGAATATCTTCCTTTCTGTCTCTCCTCCTCTCTGTATATCTGACTTTGTGATAAAAATAAAATAAATCTTAAAAAATAAAAAGATATTTATTTGAAAAGCATGGTTACAGAGAGGGGAGAAGGAACAGATAAACAGATCTTTCTCCAGCTGATTAATTCCTCAAATCTGGGTGCCAGGAAATCAAGGATTTGAACCATTCTTAGTTGTCTCACATTAGCAGGGAGCTGGGTTGGAAGTGGAGCAGCCAGCACAAAAACTAGGGGCTCATAGGAGGTGCTGGCTTTGCAGGTGATGGTCTAACCAGCTGTACCCCAATGCCAGCACTTCTTGTCACCTGGGGTCTGAAGGATGGAGACCCACAGGGCCGTGGTGATGCTCATGACTGCCACCTAGAGGATGGTGAGATGACTGCACTTCCTAAGGATCGCACCCCTGTCTTCCTGGGTCCTGGCGGTGAAATGGGGGTTATAATACCCACCTGTAGTGAGGATTTGGGTAGGACAGTTACATAGCGCATGTATTAGTGATCTATTGCTGTGTGGCAAGCTCCCCTGCCCCCCAACAAGCCTTATCTCATAGTTCAGCTGGCTGATTCTGCCCCAGGGTCTCTGGCAGGGCTGTGTTAAAGGTGCTGATGGGGGAGGGAGGGTGGTCACCTCGGGTCTGTCCCTGCCAGCTGGGCCCCCCTGCAGTATGTGTCACTTCACCTCCCTGTATGTGGCTCTGCTGTTTTCATAACCTCCCTTGGAGCAGCTGGGGCATCCCTTCTGCTGCCATCACGGTTGAGAATTGAGTCCATAGCAACCAGACGGGGACCCGGCTCCTCCCCCTAAGGCGGAGATGTCAAAGCCTGTGTGCTTGCATCTTAGGACACTCACGGCATCCGGTTCTCGGCACACAGTAGGTGTGCAGCGTTGGATGTCAGGCAGACATGCTGGCCTCCCGGGTTGCCAATTTCCAGGCTCCTGATGTTATGATGGACTGGAGAGAACACCCAGATTTACACACACACACACACCTTCCACTTAAAATTTTTTTATTTTTATTGGAAAGCATATAGAGGAGGAGAGACAGAGAAGAAGAACTTCTGTCCGATGATTCACTCCCCAAGTGACTGCAACAGCCAGAGCTGAGCCGATCCGAAGGCAGGAACCCAGAGCTTCCTCGAGGTCTCTCACGTGGGTGCAGGGTCCCAAGGCTTTAGGCCATCCTCAACTGCCCTCCCGGGCCACAAGCAGGGAGCTGAGTGGAAAGTGGGGCTGCTGGGATTCAAACTAGTGTCCATATAGGATCCCGGCGCATTCAAGGCGAACACTTTAGTCACTAGGCCACTGTGCTGGGCCCACCTTCCACTTTTTATCACTTGGGAGGGAGGATTTTTTCAGAGACCTTGGCTGTGCTGGATTGGTCGACCTAGGACAGGCATACATGTGGTTTCAAATCCACTTCTTCAGCGGGGGCAGTTGCTGCCTCCCTGCCGGGGAGGAGAGTAGTGACCTGGGAGGTGACAGTGTGTGAGTAGCAAGGACCAAGCAAGCACAGCACAGCTCCTGGCAGGAATCCCCAGCCCACTTCCAGAGATGTGAAAGTTGCAAGAGATTACTTTTTAAAAATAAATGCATTTATTGTACCAGAGAGTAATCACACATTTTGACAAAAGTGTAAAAGGAAACAAGGACATAGCCATTGTTGACATCTTGTGACATTTCCTTTCCAGTTGCCCCAACAGTTTCCTATTTTTAAAAAATCTAAGATTTTATTCTTATTTGAAAGAGTTTCAGAGAGGAGAGACAGATGAAGATCTTCCACTCACTAGTTCACCCCCCAAATGGTCTCAATAGCTGGGGCTGAACCGACTGGAAGCCAGGAGACAGCAGCTTCCTCCAGGTCTCCCACGCGGGTGCAGGGTTCCAGGGCTTTGGGCCGTCCTTTACTGCTTTCCCAGGCCACAAGCAGGGAGATGGATGGGAAGCAGGGCAGCTGGGCACTCAGAGGGATGCTGTCACCATAGGCAGCAGCTTAGTGCACTGCACCGTGGCACTGGCCTGTGGTTCCCCGTTTTTACAGGGTTGCACTTAATCCAAGTAATGGCAAGTACAACTTCGTGTCCTGCCCTTAGCCTGACTTCCCTCCCCCCTGCACACAGGTGTCACAGCCATTCACCAGGCATTGTAGAGCCATGTAACCATCCCTCAGGAGACAGTTAACTAATTTTCACTTAAAAATTCTTTCAATCAGTCCTTTTTTTAAAAAGCATCTGTGTGTCATACTTTCAAAGTTTCTTTATCTGAAAGGCAAAAAGAGTAAGACTGAGACTTCCATCTGCTGCTTCATTTCCCAAATGTCTTCACATCTGGTTCTGGGACAGGCAGAAACCAAGTGCCAGAAACTCTGTCCGGGTGCTTGAGCTCAAGCCCCCAGGGTGAGCCTGAGCAGGGAGCTTGGTCAGACGCCAAGGTGGGACTGGATCGCACCCGGCCCTCATTTGGTGCTTTGCAGAATAAGTATTCCTTTGTTTATTCTGCAATTACTTCCATCCATGCAGCTTAAAAATGAATCTTTTTCATTGAACTCGTCCTACCAGTCCCATGTGGGGGCAGCTGGGTGCGCCTGCAAAGGCTGATCCTGCTGCCCGGGAACCTTGTTGAAGCTTAGCAAGTCCTCCTCCTCGGCCTCAGTGTCACGCGGCTTCAGGTGACCCCCTGCAACTAAGGCTGTTGTCCAAAGCACACAGCTAGTTCTCTTTTCCCCGGTTGCTTCTTTCCCATCGTATGCGATTTCATTTTAATACTCGCCTGGTTCACTCAAGTCTCCCTCACACCATCACTGTGTGAAGCTGACAGGAGCAGGAATTCCTGAAATCTGGCTATGGCTGGGAGAGGAACTGGTCCAGCTGTGGTGCAGAGGTCAGCGTGACTCATTGTTCACAGACAGTATGGCCTGGGCACAGGGAGGCTGGCCCTGAGGCAGTTTCAGGGGAAACTGCTCCAGGTGGAACAGTACGTGGAGGTTGCTGGCAGCTCCAAGCCAGGGGCACTGGTAGGAAAACATGGGAAGGACCACCTGGAGGGCACTTGGCTAAGGCAGCAATGATCTTCATGGGAAAAGGGAGTTCTCTGAAACCAGCTAAGTCAGGTGAAGGAGAGCAGGGCTGGCCTCTTGTCTCAGCCCAGAGAGGTTGGGAACACACCTTGCATCTGCTCCGGGCTTGTGAGGGCTCTGCGGGGCAGGCGGAGGCCACCTGCTCTAGTGGCAGCACCTCAAACTCTGACAGTAACAGGTGTGTGGGAGGGCTTAAGTTGTGGGTGCAGTCCTAACTAAGAACTGTATTAAGCGATGCTTTACCTTTGGTAAAGGTAGGTTGGGGCAGCAGCATGCGGTTTGGCCTCTAATTGGCCTCTAATCTGCTCACGGCGGGCAGTTTAGTAGTCGGGGATCAGGGCGGAACATTTAACTGTAGAAGTGCAGCCTTGGGCACATTAGACCAGGCCAGAATGTGACACTGAAGACTCCCACCCCACACGGCATGGCTGGGGGGGGGAGCTGCAAGGTTTCCATTCCCCACAGCTGTAGGGAAGGAGAGCAGGGGTGCTCCCAGTAGAGTGTGGGGCCCAGGAAGCCTGCCTGTGTGCGGAGAATTCCCAGCAGATAAAAGGGCCGGAGGGTAGCAGTCACCTTTCACCCAGAGCCCCGGGAAATCAGTGGCTCTGACCATCTTGTGTATAGAAGTGCTCCCCCCTGGCCTCCTCAGAGGAGACACAGACATGCTGGGAGCCAAGGGCCTGGGGTCAGGTTCACCGTTGCTGTCCATGTGGTCCCCCGTGTCTCCTTGCCCCCGGATAGTGCACACTGAGGCCAGCGCACACCAAGGAAAAGCAGCAGGAAAGCTGTTCAGAGTGCTGGGCGGAGCAGGTGGGACGCAAGGCCTGGCCAGGGATGGCAGGTTGCAGGGGAAGTGCAGGGAACCCAAGACGCCGCAGACAAGGTGGTGTGGGGTGGGTAGGTGTGATCCTGGGGACATGGCAGCTCCGAGCTCCACTGCTCAGGGAGAAAGCTGCTGAGAGGAGACCACAGTCAGGACTGTGTGACAGCCATGGGCCCCACGATCAGCTGCACAGCCCCCTGGGCACCACAGCTTAGTCCAGGCCCTGTCAAGTCCAGCAGAGGGAGGACCAGCTGCCCACCACGACCATCTTGGGTGAAGCTTTGCTTTCCAAGGGCCTGCCAGCGATCCTTGTGATGAAGAGCGTGTCCACCTGTGAAAGGCTGCAAGCGGAATCAAGGCCATCTGGAGAGAAGGGGAGGAGCGGGCAGGCCCTGGGAGGGCACAGGACGGAGGAAGGCCAGCCTGCTGCATGGCACCAGTTCAGCAGGTGGTGTGCAGGCTGTGGAAAGCAGGCAGCCCACACCTAGCACAGGTGCTTTCCTCCCATAATCCCCAGGGCTGGGGAAGGCAGGGGAGCCCGCTGCATGGCCTTGTCCCAGCCCTTACGTGCCCTGTAGGCTGCTGGGTGCAGGTGCAGCAGGCGGTGTGTGGTCTTCAGCCATCACACCTCGGTGGGTGGTGCAGGGAGCTGTGGGGGAAAAAGGGTTGGCTGTGGGCCTGGCTGCAGAGCCCAAGGCCAGGGAAGGGACAGTCAGAGCTCCTCCTTGTTGCTGTGAAGGGATTGGACCAGCGTCCCTGCAGTCAAGGAATGACCTACTGGCCCGGGGTTGGCAGGCTGCTGACCATGGTCCTTCAGGTGCTGGCTGGCAGTGGCATAGTCCCGCAGCAGCCCGCTCTCCACTCCGTGCCGCCGGAGGCTCTCGGTGACCATGAGCCCCTGCTTTCTCATGTACCCCTGCTGGCAAAAGGGCGGCAACTTCTGGCGCGTGAGGGCAAACAGGAAACATGACTCTGGAGGAAAGCCAAAGAGGAGAGAGAGAAGGGACCGTGTCAGCCTGGGGTGCGGGAAAGAGGAGCTGCTGCCACTGGGGCAGGGGTCGCCAGGGGTCACTTCATCCAGGACCCTCCAGCTCTCAGGAAGCAGGAGCTCACTACCCCGTATGTCTCCTGCCTAACCTCAGGTCGTCATGGGTCATGAACCTCCACAAGGCTCCAAAAACAGGAAGCTGGCTGGCTGGGCATGTTGAAAGTGAAAGTCAAGGATCCAAAGGTGAGCCGATGGCATCGGTGATTCTCAGAGACCAGGGACCCGCGTGAAGGCCGGGCACAGAGCCTGGGGTGCGGGCCCCAGGAAGCCAGCACTCTCCCACTGGAGCACGCCGCCTCTCCCTGCCAGGTCTCTGGGTCTAGCTGTCAGATCTCTTCCACTCTGCCAACTGTCTTTTCATCTTTGTCTTATGTCTTCGCTGATCTTGACACCGAGTTTCTAATTTCTAGTTCTTTAAATAGTTTCCAGAAGTTGTATCTTTTTCCGAAACTACCTCATTTTGGTAGTTTCTGTTCCTTCATTTTCAATAATCTTTTTAAATTTCAACGGCTACATCAAACATACTTATATGGAAACAAACGCACATTGTGAAAAAACTGCATGGATTTCAAATGTTTTACGTGAAAATAAATTTCTCTTTAAATACTATTTTTCCATGAATCTCAAAACATGTTTCAGAGGCAGACACAGAGGAATCTATCTATCTATGGGTTTACCCCTCAGATGCCCATGACAGCTGGAGCTGGGCCAGGCGGAAGCCAGGAGCCAGGAGCTTCTTCCAGGTCTCCCACCTGGGTGCAGGGGCCCAAGCACTTGGGCTGTCCTCTGCTGCCTTGTAGCAAGGAGCTGATGTAGAAGCAGAGAACTGGGACTCTGGTGCCCTGCTGTGGGATGCTGGTGTCCCGAGGAGCATCTTAACCGGCTGCAGCACAATACCCACGCCCGGACCTGTGTCTAAAGGTCAGTTATCCAGAGAAGTCTTCATTTGCTTCTGGGAATGCCTCCCCTGAGCAGGGTGAAGACTGGCCCCAGATGTGCACAAGTTGTGGCTGGAAATCCTCCCCCTGATTTTCTCCCTGCTCTCCCCAGGGCCTATCAGCCTTCACCCAGCCTCCTCCTGTGGAGGTTTTCTGCCTCCATGTTTGCCAAACGGCAGGCAAGCTTTATTTCAGGGCCTCCCATCAGATCTCCCAGGCTGCGGCTTCATCTTCTGATGCCAGGGGCTGACCGATGAAAACTCAGGCGAGGGGGGGTCAATGGTGTGGCGCCACAGGTTAAGCTGCTGCTTATGACACAGGCATCCTATATCTCAGGCGAGGGGGACTGCTTGTGACACAGTCATCCTATGTCAGAGTATGCGTTTGAGTTCCCAGCTGCTCTGCTTCCGATCCTGCTCCCTGCTGATGATCCTGGGAAGGTAGCAGAAGATGCTCCAAGTGTTGGGGACCCTACCAGCCACATGGGAGAGCAGGATGGAGTTTTCAGCTTGTGGCTTTGGCCTGGCCTGGCACTGGTTGTTGTAGCCACTGGCAGAGTGAACCAGAGGAAGAAGAGCTCTCCTGTCTCCTCCCCTCCTACTCTGCATCAAACCATCTCCTAGGTTCTAGCCTCCAGGCAGGTCCAGCCTTGGCTGCACATTTTAGCTCCCTGCAGTTCTTTAAGAGGGCCCACTGTTCAGCAGTGGGTCCCTAGGCTGGCCTAGAACCAACTGTCTGCACATCTAGTGCTCCACCTTGCAGGAAACAGCAGGTGGAGTTGCACTTCTGGAAACAGGTCCCAAGATGCAATGGGGCTCAGCCTCTGGCTCAGGGGTTTCTGTTACCTGCATAGAAACTTCGGAGATCCGTGTCCAAACAGTTCTCCAGGAAGCGCCTCAAGGGCAGGACATGGCCAATGGGGGCTGTCCAGTCAGTCAGGAAGTCCTCCACGACGTGGTGGATGGCTGTGGGTCGCGGCAGGGGCCACTGCGCAGGGCGGAACCTCACCTCTTGCTCTGTTGGGGGACAGGGGAAGGACACAGGGAGCAGATCACCGCCCAGGGGCTCGGCTTCCCATCCTGGAAGCCCCTGGGTCTCAGGTCCACCCAGGGCAGCTCCTGCATCCTGCACGGGCTGTGGTCAGCTTGTTCAAGGGCTATGCACTATGAGAAAGAGGAAGTAGGCTTGTTTCTGGTGGTTCAGGGCTGCTGTCCAGCTGATCCCCAGGCTGAACGCTCTGGCCCTGCACTGTGGTGTCTGAGCTGAAACACCCTTTGGCTGGCATTTTCCAGTAGGGTGGCCTCCTACCCACGGTCTGACGATCCCTGCACTGGGACAGCAGACTCTGGCGGCCGCTGTGACTCTGGTGAGGTGCCCTTTCCCGGGGGAGCCCCTGTGGAGACCACGCCCTCCCACCCAGCAGCCTGGCCAGCTCCAAGGTCAGAGTCCTGCTCCCTAGGCTACAGCCCGTGTGCATGATCACGCTGATCCTGACAATCCTGCAGTCAGCCCCACCGTACAGCTGAGACTCCTAAAGACGAAGTCGTGATCCTGGGTTATTTTGAGATCAGCAGCTCCATTCCTATCAGCGTCAGTGTTCCAGCCACCTGTCCCCAACCACCCACTGAGGTCAGCCCCCTGTGGGGATGTCACAACACGGCAGTCCTGAGGGCGACCACGACACCACGCTGGACAACACCTGGATGCAGCAGTGGGCTGGAACCAGCTCTCTCCACAGCCAGGGCAGGCTGGCTTACCAGTGGGAAGATGTCTGTAGTAGTAGACCACGGGGTGGAGGAAGTTGGACTGCCAGGCGTCCTCCGTGTGACCCACGGAGCGGTCATAGAAGAAGACGTCCTTCTCGGGGCCAGAGAAGTTCCTGCCATACTCCATGGTGACGACGAACAGCCCATGCCTCGCCTGCCTGCCCGTCAGGCTCTCCAGCTGCGCCAACATCTGCACAGGTATCTCCTCCAGGTATTCAAAGGCTGTGGCATTCCTGCAGGGAACAGGGAGGGTCAGGCCCAGGCGCGAGGCAGGCAGGCAAAGGCAGAGCTGGGCATGTGGCATCTCGCCCTCCCAGAAGTGCCCGTGGAGTTGGGCCAGTGCGGACTTGCATGGGCTCCATGTAACTCCCTTGACTGCTCTGTGGTAAGCCTGGCCCTCTCTGACCCATGTGTGACAGCTTCCAGAAAATTCTGTGTGGCTTGAAATAGAGACCTGGGCAAGAGTGTGTTGGGGGGGGGGGAGCTGAGGACTGCAAAAGAACCCCTAGGGAAGCTGGGGATTTAGAGGGCACAATTAGCACTTGGGGTCTGGCCTGGAGTTAGAAGTGATGCTGCAGGTGCTGGGAGCTGAGTAGGGCGATCTCAGTGACATTTGTGATGTCATTGCACCCCTCTGGTTGCTGGGGAGAGCAAGACCACCGGTCATAGGTGTCACACACGAGCAGACAGCAGATGCCCAGCGTTGGGAGCAAGGCAAAGAGTGGGGCTAGCAAGGACTGCTCCTGTTCTAGGCGTTACTAAAGGGGTAACCTCATGACCTGCCTGGTCCGCAGGTCTGAGTGTCCAACAGGCCCTCAGGGCTGAGCCCTGTGGTGGGGCTCACACATCCCTGGGCTTGGTGTACCGCAGCCTCAGGTCAGGCCGTTCCCTGCTCTTGCTGCCACTTGCCCCCGAGGTCCTCACAGATCTCTACCTCCAACCCTCTTCCCTGGGGCTGTGCGCTGTGCCCTTCTTGGGCACGGCCTGTCCTGTGTGCTCTGCTGGTTATTGCTGGAGTGATAAACATCGTGAGCAAACCGGTGCTGGCCCGAGTGGCTCAGTCCCTTCTGCCTGGCAGTCTCCCAAGTGCTTGTTCTCCTTGCTTTCTGCAAGGCGGACCTTGTTACTCCACTTTGCTGATGATGTCAGAGAGGCGTACTAACCTTTCTGGGGTCGCACAGTAGGACACTCATGGCCAGGACTCTGCCTGCAGACCGGGTGGTATTGCCCTACCCCACCTCCCCAGAAGGAACCACCAGGCTGTTTTACACTGGGCAGGGGGTGTGCCAAGGCTGGGCAGGGACAGGTTACTCACTCTGTCAGCAAGATGACGTCGGCCAGCACCCCAAACATCTGGTACAGGCCGGATGCCTCGTTCATGCGCCGGAGCAGGGAGCTGGTCAGCTGTGTGATGGGGAGTCGGGTGGCGGGCCAGGCCACGCCGTGGTGGCGCTGCTCCAGGAGTCGGTGCACAGCACGTGCTGAAAAGGCCGGAGACAGGGAGAGGCCACCCTTCAGAGCTGCCTTTTGTTAATCAGTGGGTTTAGGGCCTCCTCACCTTCCCCCACACCGGCACTTTCTTGGAGATTGGTGAGAGAGGGCAGGGAGAGCAGAGACTGTCCCCAGAGCAGGACTCGGACACTGTTTTGTGTCAAGGAAGGACCAAAAGGGTAAACACGAGGATGCTTCATGAAAAGATGCAGCTGCAAAATGAACCCTGGGGCCTGGATGGTGTCCCAGAGGGTTAGGCAGACCATGGTGCCAGCATCCCACGTGAGTGCAGATTCAAGTCCAGCTGCTCTGCTTCCAATCCTGCTAAGGCACCTGGGAAAGCTGCAGAAGACGGTTCAAGTGCTTAGCTCCCTGCACCTGCATGGGAGATCCAGAGGGAGTTCCTGGCTCCTGGCTGGCCCTTGCAGCCATTTGGGGAGTAAACCAGAGATGGAAAGTCTGTTTCTCTCTCTGTGACTCTACCTTTTAAGTAAGTAGTTTGTTTTTGTTTTTTTTTAAGAGGCAAGTTTTGGTGTGGGCATTTGGGGTTAGCACACCCCTTTTGCAACAGGGGCACCCCGTATCTGAGAACCTGGGATTGAATCTGGGCCTCACTTCGGTTCCAGCTTCCTACTGATGTGCACCCCGGCAGGCAGCAGGGGGCGCTCATGTGGGAGCCCTGGATGGAGCTCACAGCTACCAGCCATCTGGGAACTGAATGGGTGGTTAGGACCTCTCTCTGTGTCTTGGGGAGGGGAAGGGGGTGAAAGAGAGGGGGTCAAAAACAAAACATAAATGAAAACCAAGAGAGGATACTTTTTTTTGGATGCATGGAAAGTTGAAATGCATGCACAGCTTTTCCAGAGTGTGCATTCCTAGAAACTTTTGCAGGGCCCTGTGTACTCCTTGCTTCAGGAACCATGCATCACTCCAATTTGCCGCTGGCATGGAAGCAGGTGTGGACAACAGGTGCATGAATGGGGATTTAGGACTCAGGCCAGACTCGCCCACCCTGCCCAAACCAGCCATGCGGCCTTGCTCCAAGATCTGGTCTCACAGTCCCTGCTTCTCCTGGAATCTCCCATGTTGCAAGTCTTTGATCGCTTCCTCTTTCACAGCCTGGGCCCCATCTGCTGTGAGATGCTCTGTATGTCCAAGCAAGGATATTAAAGTTGCTGCCACCTAAAGCCATATCGCAAGAGGGCTTTCTTCGTAGCTGGGGCTGCCACAGACAGCTGCGGGATCGGAGTACTGCCTGCAAATGCTGGATCCCCTCCCCAAATTCAGCAGCAACACCCCAAGCTCTCCAAAGGCAGCTCACAGGAGGGAGCATCCAGCAGGCCCCTGCTGCCTGGAGATGTGCACACCCCGGGGGCAGCAGGAGTAAAGCTGTGGCTGATGGCAGGTGTGGAGACAAAGGAGAGGACGGAGGAGGTCTCAAGTGCACCTGATATGCTTTGGAAAGCAGAGAAGAGACGCTGGGGCAGGAGACGGGGAGGGGAGTGGAAGCCACAGAGGAAGGGCCAGCAGGGGAAGGGAAGGGGCTATGTGTCAAGGACAGTGGCTTTGACAGGGGCCGTGGCAAAGGCAAGAGGAGCAGCCAGCTCCGGGGAAGTGAGGCATGGCTGCCAAGGGACTTAGGAGGGGCAGGGCGTGGCTTCTATCTCTGACTTTTTCTCCTGTCACTTTTCTCTGCCAGGTGATCCTGGGTCCCTCTTTCCTTGGGACTTTCTCAACTGACGGTTGAGTAAGACACAGGTACAGCTCACTGTGTGTGTCCCCTGTCCTTCTGCACACACAGCCCACAGGCAGCCTGGACTTAGAACTTTCCCAGCAAACCTTCAGGAAAACTCCCTATCGCCAGCCCCTGTTACCCAGATGCCTGCATCTGCCCAGCACTGTTGCTTGATCCCTCTCATGTCCTTAGAACTTGGCTGCTTGTTTCCGGGCCCCAGTAACAACACAGGTCATTCTCTGTGTGGCCAGTGGCTGTCCCAGCCCACTCACCTGTGTACCGGAACCCATGGATGAAGCCCCCGGCTGACTTCCGGTAATCTACAGAGTGGCTGGCGGTGCCTAGGACGAAGAGCCCGCGGCTGCCTTTGGCCTCGTAGCTGGCTCTGATCAGGGGGTACTTCTTGCTGAACTCACCCCCCGAGGACAGTCTCAGGGACCTGGGAATGACATGGTCACTAAGAATGGTCATCAGTCCCTCTGTCCTCTACACCTCAGCAGGTGGCACCGTCAGCTCCACTGAGCCCAGGACGGAACTGGGGCTTGGGTCAAGGTCGTGGCAGGGCACAGCCAGGACTGCAGCCTGACTCAGGGTTGGGCTCAGCGTGGTCCCGCTGCTGAAAAGAGGAAGTGGGCTGCTCCTTGTCTACCTGTGTCCTGGCCCCAGGGTGAGTGAGAAGCTTGGAGGGCAGTGTTGACAGCAAGCCTCACTCGCTCAAGACCAGGCCCCTAGAGAGCAGGTCTTCAAAACAGAAATGATAAATAGTCTTAGCACCTAATGTTTCCCTGAGCAGGTAGCATACACCAGGCACTTTTCTCTGTGCCTGCTCACACATACCTGTGAAGCACGCATGGCCAGCCCCCATTGTAGAAATGAGGAATGTGGGACACAGCGTGCTGGAGCCCCTGGGGTGTGGTGAGCATGCACTCTGGGCTGGCCCTGGGCTGCCATGCCTGCCTCTGCACCTGTCTGAGCATGCTCGCCTGGCACATCAATGGAGACTCAAGAGGTGGCTACTGCCCATGGTCAGTACCAGATGGAGCAGCTGCAGTGGACAGGAGTCCCTATCCCAGGCGGGAAACTGTCCCTCCATGTCCTGCTGCCATCTGCTGATCAGCCACCCTGCCACCCTCCTCCAGAGAAGGCAGAAGGGGTGGCCAGCGCTCCCCGCCCCGCCTCACCCAGCTGGACTCACTTATTGAAAATGGAGAAGTCAAAGTTCCAGCCCAAGCATCGGATGACTCGGTCGTAGGCAACGCGCATGGCGAAGTTGTCGTTGTCATCCTGGGGGAGGGTGATGGAGTCGGCAGTCTCGTTGGCATCGGCTTCCTCCACAAAGAACCTCAGGGTCACGTGAAACTTGCCCTTGTGGTCCTTCAGGATGGCCAGGTCCGTGAGGTCCGACTCCAGCAGCCCGTCCAGGGACTTGAGCTGGTAGGTGTCCAGCAGGCCGTTGTTGATGGCTCTGGGGGTGCATGGGAAGGCAAGGGGGGCGGCCTCAGAGGACGGCAGCGTCAGCGGGCAGGTGGAAAGCCCCGGCAGAGCGGGCCCTACCTGAGGTCCCCGACGTAGTGGGTGGCCCAGGAGAGGCGCACGCGGGAGCGGCTGAGCATGTGGATGAAGTTCGTGACCCCCAGGATGTTCTCGGCTGTCTCGAAGGCCGCATTCCCACGGCCCAGGATCAGCACGTTCTGCCCGGCAAAGTCCTCGGGGTCCACCGAAACTGACTCGTAGCCCTCCAGGTGTTCTGAGCCAGGGAAGTCCACCTGGTTGGGGACCGACAAGCCGGTGGCCACGAATAGGACTCTGCAGGCGGGCACACAGGAACAGTGGGCAGCTCAGGAGGGGAGCGTCACCTTTTGGAGCTCCCCACACAGGAGAACATTCATGCATTCAATCACTGGCTGACCCCAGAGTACCCTCTCTATCTGGTGAATCCTTTTCCTTCATACTTCCCTGGGCTCATGCTCGCTGCAGGTGGGCAGAGGAGGGAGGACAATTCTCATAGAGCAGGTGGTGAGACAATGAGCCAACTCTCCACCTAGTGTCGCCCCAGGGCAGACAGTGCCATTCTGGCTGGCTGGGCAGAGGCACACAGCTGCTGGTCACGTGTCCTGAGTGCCTTGTGGACCGCCTCATTTACACCTCCTCCTGCTAAAGCCACCCTGATTTGGTGTTATGGGATCTGGCAAAGCCATGCTCTGAGCACAGGCAGGCTGGCATTCTAGGGCTTGCCCTTATATCTCTGGTGAGGGTGACAATCTGGTGAATGGCATGTCCACAAGGTGGCTTTAAACTAGAATAGGCTGTGGGCATTGGGCACAGCAGTTACAGGGATATCTGTGCCCCATCTCCAAGTGCCTGGGTTTGAGTCTCGGCTCCACTTCCGATTCCAGCTTCCTGCTAATGTGCACCCTGAGAGGCAGCAGGTGATGGCACAAATATTTAGGTTCCTGCTACTCATTGTGGGAGACCTGGCTTTGACCCAGCTCCAGCTATTGCAGACATCTGAGGAGTGAACCAGCAGATAGACAATCTCTTCTCTCCCTCTGCCTTGCAAAAAAACAAAAAGACCTGGCTGGCTTTCTACACAAGGGCACTTGTTCCTACCAGCCCCACCAATGCTTGTTTTCTGTCCCTGGGCCACTGTGCCCCCATCCGAGGGTCTTCCATTGCAGCCCAGCAGCCTATAGCTGACATGGACCTTCTTTCTCCGAGCTGTAACAGAGCAAGGCCAGGAGCAAGGCATTTGGTTAAGGGTTTGAGAAGATGAGCTTGAGCCAAGCCATGTGTGTAGCTAGTGCAGGGCTAAAGGTCAGGAGCGAGGACAGTCGGCCATGTGGTACAGTCAGGACAGACTCAGATCACAGCCCTGCCTAGTCTTTGCTGGGCAGCCACAGCCCTGCCCCGTCCTCGCTGAGCAGCCACACTACAGTCCTGCCCCATCTTTGCTGGGTGGTCACTAGGTGACCAGAGTCCTACTCCATCCTTGCTGGGTGGCCACAGCCCCAGTTACTCAACTTGTCAGAGCCCCAGGCTCCACCAGTAAAACAGGGCGGGGGGGGGGAGGGGCTGGCAGGCCTCCTCCACAGGTTCCGAGTGACAGTCACACAAGTTTGGGAGTTGGGGGGTGACCACACACTGTTAAGCCATCTTCCGAGTCAAAGAAAGCAGAAACTGCTGGCTGGAAGCACGCTGCGGGCTGAGGCTGGAGGGCTGGAGCTGGTGGGGGTGGGGCTCTCCTTCCCCAGCTCTGGTCTGAAATTCAACCAGCCCAGCCCCCCTTTGACCCAAATTTCCCAGAATGCACACTGGGGAACACGAGTTACAGGGGCTGCTCCAGGGCAAAGGGAGTTTGGCAGCACATAAACTATGCTTACACAGAATGCTCTACCCAACGCTGGGTGCAGCAAAAGAAGACAGGAGAGACAGACAAATCCTGCAGGAAACAAATAGCTGGCAAACATCCCAACCCACCTGACCCTGAGGGTTGAAGAACACCCTGGGAAGGGACAGCTGCGGCTGAGTTGAACCTCTAAGCAGGAACCTGGAGTGGGAGTCAAGGGTGGTACAAACACCCTTTCCCTTGGGTGGGGGAGGCCCCACCTTGAGCAGATGGGCTTCTGAGCAGGCTCCTTACCTGCACCGGTATGTCTGGTGCTTGTGGTCGGTCAGGACGAAGTAGTGGCCATTCCAGGCGCGTGGGTCCTTATCCAAGGTGACGTGCACAATAGTGGTGTTGTACTGCACGTGGAGCCTCAGGTGGCTGGCGAAGTCGCCCAGGTAGCGCAACATGTCGTCGGCGTCAGGAAAGTAGGCGGTGGAGTAGTGCCGGAAGAGCAGCCGGGGGTCGTGGCTGAGCAGGGAGTTCCAGTCGTGGCGGAGGTTGAACTCAGCGTTGGCCTTGCCCGTGTACCGCTTGTTGATGCTGATGAGCTTGCGGTGCCGCGGGTAGCGTGTGAAGAAGCTACCCGGGCCCGGGGCGCGCTCCAACACCGTGTAGTCCCTCCCTGCCCGGTGCAGGAAGTAAGCCATCTGCAGGCCCGCGGGCCCCGCGCCCAGCACACAGTAGTCCCGAGCGGGGGGCGCCAGGGCGAGTGCTGGGTGCAGCGTGATGGCCAGCAGCAACCCCAGGGTGCCCCACATCCTGCAGGCTGGGGAGCTCAGGCCTCGCACTGTCGACGGCCCGCACAGCCGGGAGCAGTAGCTTCTTCCAGAGGACTGGGGTCCCGCAAGAAGCAGCGGCTCGCCTGAGCTCTCACTGCAGCTTAGGGCAGAGCCAGCGCTTGTACCCGGAGACCTTGGAGCTCATTTGTCTCGGCTGGAATGCGGGGTTCCCCGCACGAGCCCTCAATCCCTGCATCTCGTCTCCTCCAGGGCATCCCTTCCCAGGGCAGAGAGCCCCCTCCTTGTAACCACGGTAACCACCACCATAGGGGAAGGACAACTCGCGACCCAACTTCACCCCAATTTGAGAGGCACTCCACAGCTCTCCCGCGAAGGTGCAGTTCGCTCTGGCTCCGGTCCTCTCGCCCGAGGCGTGGTCTGCATGGGCCCCGCCTCCTGACAGGTGCCGCGCGTTCCAGCCTCCTCTGCCACGCGATGGATGTCCCGGCACACCTGCCGCCCTCGCGCGCGCGCTCCCGGGGTCGGGGTCGGGCGGCTGCCTGCGCGCGCGTGGTGTCCTCGGCGGCCGCTCCCGCAGCGGCCCGCCGCAGAGCCGGGTCTTGTCCGTCTGCGCCGGTGGCCCGCACACCAGCGAGGCCAGCTCGTCCTGCTCTCGCCGCGGCGGCCCCGCCCAGACCCGGGGCAGGGGGCGGGATCACGCGCGGCGCGCGGCACGCCGGGAGAGGGGCCCACGTGCGGTGCGCGATGTGCGGGGTTAGCGGGATCTGCACTGCTGAGGGAAAGGAACATGTGTGTTTTGGCCATGACCCCAGTTTGGTGGACTAGAAACCAGGCCAGTGAATCGTCGCACTCCACAGCAGACAGCGACCACCAGAACCTCGCCAAGGACTACGTGCCCACCGTTTTGTAGCCAACTGCTTGTGTGTGTGGGGTGGGGGAGTGGTTTTTCAATATCACACGGCTGGGAAGAATTCCCCATGATTGCATGTGGCTGTTACATGTGGCATAAGAAGGAAGTGGGGCCAGGATGGAGGTTGACCTCTTGGGAATGGGTGGTGTGGCCCTGCCCGAGGCCTGATGGGCACCTCACAGGGCACTGCCAGGTCGTGTGACACGGGGATAAGGCAGCGTGGAGAGTACTCGGTGCTCTGCCAGCTTCGCATGGCTGAAATCTCCTCCCACAGAAAAGCCCCAGGGAGGGCAACCTTTGCTACCCTCCTGTGTCGAGGTGTGCCTAGCTAAATGCTTCCTTGGTTTTGGTTTTCCCACAGCCCGTATCCACTTGAAAACCTCTGGGGGAGGGGCAGGGAAGATCTGGCTCTTGTCTACAGGTGACCAGTCCAGGTGTTTAGCCACACAGGTGAGGTAGTCCCTCTCTGCTTTTCACTGGTTAATTAAGGCTGTAAGGATGACTGGGGTGGCCTGCTGCTATGGCACGTAGTGGGGTTAGAGGTCTGCAGGGTCCAGATGCCAGGGCTGGGTTGGATATGTGCGAGGCATGTTGCTCCCTCAGTGCCTGTTTGGCCTTCTGGCCTCATACCAACAGCTAACGTGGTGGAAGGTAACGTAACTCGCTTTAGAGAATGCCTGAAGTCATTCCCACCTGCCCATATGCTCAGTTAATCCTATAGGATCAGGCCACGGCCTTACAAGGGCTGATTCAGAGCACACTGGTCCAGCCTTGAAAATACCCACCCCACCATTTGAATGTTCTAACGCTGTTGACCTGTCATATTCGGTAGGCATACTTTCTGCTCTTTCCAGTATCAATGACAATAAAGACCAGCCTATCTTACGAGTGCCCAAGCACCCCCCATGCCCTTGCTGTTGTGGCGGGTAGATGGACAGCCAGGTAGGTAGCAGGACCCTAGCTACTCCAGTTACCATGGTTACCTGTCAGAGTTCTTAGTAGGACGCTGGAACCAAGAGCTCCAGGCAGGAGCTGAACCCTGGCCCTCTGCTGGATTAAATGGCCAAGGCTCTAGACTTGCTACTCTAGGCTCACCCATCTGCACAGCAGCCTGACTCGCGCCACTTGGATGCTCACAGGAAGCAGGTCGTTATTTCCAGTGTCCACTTACAGCGGTGGTTTACCCTGAAGTTCCGGACTGCTCCCGACACTTGGCTAGCTGTGCTTGTCGTGGACATTGGGCTTGACAACATACCATCCCAACCCCTGGCCAGCGGGCAGTGTCTCAAACAGCTCTGAGGCAGTGACACGGCCTGCACCACATGCCCTTCAGGGTTACAAGTGATCCAGGTCCCACTGCTTCTGAGACAGGAAGCTGAGGGAGCAGCCCTGGCTCCTGATGCTCCCTGGAGAGTGCAGGCAGATGACAAGCAAGGGGCTGTGACACTTGGGCTTTATTACACCTTTCCATCCTGTCCAGCACCAGGAAGCAGGCGCCAGAGCCCCGTTCCTGCACACACGAAGGCCCTTTAGGCCTGGGGAGTTGGCCTCCAGGCCCACGTCACTGGTTCAAGCTTCTTCCTCTGAAAGACACAAAGGTGATGGAAATGAGCCATGCGTGTGCAGTGACAGCCTCCTTTCTTTACAAACCCTGGGTGCTCTGCATCCCTGCCCCCCACCCCGAGCTAATAAACCTCAGCTGGCTGATCAGGGTTCAGGTGCGGCAGCTCTTAGGCTGGGCAACACCTAGCTAAACTCAGGACCTGCCAGTGTCCTTCCCGGATGCCACCTTATTCTAGAAGTGTCTGTAAAGCACACCCCCACATCTCTGCTGTCATCCAAGGCTCTGCAGGAGCTCCAGGGGCCCGAGGTAAAGCTGCTCTCACACCTCGGCACAGCCGGTCTTGGTGCACTGGGTCATGGTGCTTGGTGCCCATAGTGCTTGCTCCCCTGCCAGCCATAGATTGCCCTAGACCCCAAGAGGAGGTCACTGCACACCTTCCTCTTCCTCCTCCTCCTCTTCCTCCTCTTCATCGTCCTCGTCGGAGCTGAAGGTGCCGTCGGGCAGGCTGTAGACACGGATGACCTGCTTGTTGGGGTCCTTGAGGATGAGGTACTTGCCCTCCTCCAGCTTCATGCAGATGTCGATGACGCAGCGCAGGATGCCCCAGGCGTTCTCCACGCTCAGGTTGATCTGGCTGGCGAACTCGTTGGGCTTGAACTGCTGTGTGCCCAGGATGACGTGGCGTGAGGAGTCTTTCACATGGTAGCGGGACACATAGCTAGTGGGGAAGGGAGTGTGAGTGGTGGCGGTGGGGCAGGACCAGATCTCCCTTCTCTGCCCAGCCCCTCCCCGCCAGATGCTCACCCAAGCTTGAGGTACTCGGAGCCCGCCAGCAGGGCGCAGCAGGTCCACCGTGCCAACTTATAGCTGTTGTTCTTCAGCTCGGTGGCAATGACGGCCCCGCGCTGGGAGTCCAGCTTCTGACGCCAGTCGACGCCATTGCAATGCTACGGAAGGAGAGCCCTGGTCACGGTGCGAAGGCAGGGCCAGAAGGCCTAGAAGGAACTGCATCTGCTAGTCTAAAACTGGGAGATGCTTTAGGGACCAAGACTGGCTCCCTGCCCTCGCACAGCCCTCCATGGCCAGTATGCCCATGGCAGCCCTCTGTCAGAGCTTGCCTACTCGGGGAGGTCACCACATGTTAGCTACAGTGCCACATGGCGAGCACAGGCGAGTGTCTCCCAAGTGTTGAGGCAGGCATGGCTGCACAGACATGAGCAGTCAACCAAGGACAGGTCAGTGGCGACAGAAATCCTGGTAGCAAGGACAGGCAGGGTCAGCCAGGGAGGGGCAGCAGCACTGACACTGTGCGCAGCTGGGGCAGACACCTGAGTGAGGGGACAGTGGGGATGTACAGCAGAGGCCCCTGAACTTGGGTTCCTGGTAGCCTGAAGCCAAAGGAACTGCGCAGAGTCCCTTTGGTGAGGCAGTTCAGTCCACACCCAGCAGGTGTGTTCTGACAGCCGCCTCCACCTCTTTCCACATTTAATGTGCTCTGTAGTGCCGGTGTGAACCACATGGCAGTCTTCCACCAAACCAGGCTGCACGACAGAAGTCGTGCTCGGGACAAGTAGAGGAAGTGAATCAGGGTGTGACAGGAGACTAATGAATGGGGTCATGAGCGTGGGTGAGGATGGTGGTGACCTCCAGGACCGATAGGACTGTACCTCACAGCAAGACAGCAGAGCACAGGAGGCCGAGAGGCTGGGAGCTCTGGGCCGACACGGGCAGCAATGACAAGAGTGGGACGCTGGGCGGGAAGGGGTGTGGCAGGCCATCCATGGCTGCGGGTCAGAGGTCAGCTGCTGAGTCCTTGTATAGCTGAGGGCAGACAGAATGTGGCCCTTGCCCTTGTGGAATCCCTCCCATAGGCAGTGGATGGAGCCTGTGGCCTGAGGGGCTGCTGCTTCCACGATAGGACAGGTAGGCCCCAAATCAGGTCACATTCAGATTAATACTGGGAGGTCTGCGCTCCCCCACAAGCCTGAAGCCCAGCTGTGAGGTCAGAAGCAGAACACCCCAGATCCCATGAGCTGCTGCCTGGCCACAAACGCAATGGCCTGTGGGGGCCGGGTGACACTCTGACAACAACAGAAAGATCCTGGAAGTGGGTTTTCTTCCAGAATATCCAGATGAGAATTCAATTCTGACACCTTGCCAAAAGCTTCTGCCACGGCAGAGAATCCGGCCACAATGCATAGAGCTCAGGCCTACACAGCTACGGGAGCCATGGGAGCTACAGGAACTACAAGCCAGTGGAGGTCACAGTGTCATCCAGAGCAGCTGTTTCTGCTATGAAGCAAAGCTAACTTAACGAGGCTGTATAAAGAAACAATAAAAAAAGAAACTCTCCTAAGCTATTTCCAAAAAACCAAAGAAATGACAAGAAATGCTTCTGGCAGGGAGAATTGGGCAGGGGCAGACATGGCGCCAAAGGGGGGGGTGGTGTGGTGTGTGTGTGTAGGAGCAGACATGGCGCCAAGGTAGGTGTGTGTAGAGGTGTGTGTGTGTGTGTGTGTGTGTGTGTGTGTGTGTGTGTGTGTGTGTGTGTGTGTGTGTGTGTTGGGGGGGGGAGCCCAAAGACAGGACACAGAGCGGCAGCAAATCCTGCTGTTTTCTGGGTGCTCAGGGCGGAAGGACTCGCTTGGTAGGACTCACTGGGCCTGGGCCTCAAGGCTGCCCTCCCCATGGGAAGCATCAGCAGCACCCAGGGCCGGGGCAGCCTGAGGAGCGAGGGTCCCACAGTCCAGAGCCCAGCCTGAGGGAGGACACTCGGAGCAACAGCTCTTGGCAAGGGGCCCCTCAGGAGCCCTTCTGAGTTGAGCAAGTGAAGGAGCCAGACAGGGTGCAGGGTGGAAGCAAGGGCTGCTGGGCTTCCGGGGGACAGAAGCCACCAGGAGGATGAAGGGAGCAGAGGAGAAGGGAGGAGGGGTTACAGCTTCTGATGTGCCAGACCACAGGAAAGTTCTTGAGACTGAAGGTGGTTCTACACATGTCCTACCTTGGCAAGGACCTGACTGGAGAAAAAGCTCAAAGGCCAGCAAACAAACAAAAACAAAACCTGGACAATGAGGGCAGAAGCAGCGGCTCTCACAGCTGCCCAAGGCTCCATAGGGAGCATAGCTGCAGTGGCGGCAGGAGGGTAGCGACGTCGGGGGCCTCACCCTGGAATCCCACTCGTTGAGTGTCTTGATGTTGATGAAGGACACCTCCCCATTGGCTCCTGTCATGACACCATCGTGCTCACATCGGACGATAAGGTCAATGTCATCTCCAAGCTTCCACCTGCGGTAGCTACAAGACAGCAGAAAGCATGGGGTCACGTGAGAGCCCGTATCTGAGAGCCAGCACCCCGGCCAGGACACAGCCTGTGCTCTTGCTCAGAGGGCCATACCGGTAAGCCACAGAAGCGATCTCATTCTTGTCCATGTCGTCCTCCACAAACGGGTTCGGGTTGGGGAAGTTGTATCTCTCCTTCCCCTGCAGAGGCAGGGAAGGTGTCAGGAGGAAGGGCCGGCCTTGTGGCCTGTCACAGCTCCCATTGCAGGTCTGGGGTGACTGGCACCCAGTCAACACTAGAGCATAGACGAGCACCTGACACAATGGGCTCCTAGGGAAGGGATGCCCGTGTGTGTTTCCAACTCATCCACATGAGACAAGTCCAACTAGTACAAGGGAACCTCAAATTA